AGGAAGAGGAGGGAAAGAGGGAGGGAGGGAGATGTCAGCCTGCTTTGTGAGGGGGCAATGCCATTTCGTCACCATCATTTAGAATTACCATTTTAGATTTCAATCATTCTAGGAAGAGTGCAGTGGCATTGGGTTGCTTGAACTTGCGTTCATGACGGATGATGCTGAACATGTCTCCATGTGCACGTCACTTATGCGTTTTGGATGAGGTGTCTGGTCAGATCTTTTGGGCATTAATTGGGTTGTTTTCATATTATTGAGCTTTAAGAGTTTTTTGTATATTTTTCACATAAATTCTTTATTAGATCTTTTGTTAATATTTTCTCTAATCTTGTAGCTTTTATTTCTATTCTCATAACTGCTGGAAGTATTTTGATTCTTAGAAACTTAGTAAACTTGAAGGGGCTGGGGAGATGGCTTAGTAAAGTGTTTGCCACACAAGGACCTGAATTTCATCTCCAGAACGCACATAAAAAAGCCAGGTGTGCTGGCATGTGCTTGTAATCCCTAGGAGCTAGCCTAGGCTACTTACCAAGCTCCAGACCAGTGAGAGATCCTGTCTCCAAAACAAAAAACAAAAAACCCAAAGCATGTGGCTCCTGCAGTGTAACACCTCTGGCCTCTACATGCATGCACATATATGTGCACACACATACACACATACATACACACAAAGTCCATGTACATACACATACAAAAAATTAACAACAATAAAAAGCATGCAGTAAGCTTAAATACCACACCTGCTTTAAAATGGTCACAGGGCTGGAGAGCAGGCTCAGAGGGCAAAGTGTCTGCTGTACAGTCCTGATGACCTGAGTTTGGATTCCAGCACCCACATAAAAGCCGGGGGCCGCTCCATGTGCCTAAACCCAGCACTGGTAGGGATAGAGGTAGACAGAAGGATCGCTGGGGATGGTTGGCCAGGCAACCTCGCTGAAACGGCAAAAGTTCCAGGTTTAGTGAGAGACTATCTCAAATAAAGTGGAGAGCAACAGAGGAAGACATCTGACATTGACTTTGAGCCTTCACACTTGCACAGGCATGTACACGCTTGCATGCATGAGCGCGCACACACACACACACACACACACACACACACACACACACACACACACACACATCTATGAACATCCATTTAAGGCTGCAGCTTTCCGATTTATAAAAAAGTGTCCCTCTCTGGAAAGATCTAGAACCAGGCCAAGATTCACTCAGTGACACTTGGCTTACACCTCTGTGCCAGACACAAACTGTATGATCCCGCTGTGTGACACCCATTATAGTGGAATATTATTTTAAGATGTGTTACATTTGTTCAATTAAATAAAACTATCCTGCAGTCAGGAGGCAGAGCCAGCAACTAGCTGACAGGGAGTGGTAGGGAGGAAGCGCGCGTAGTGGGGGGCTGAGCAGAAGGACGCCCGGGACTTTGGGGAGACATGAGCTAGGAGGGAACGTTAGCTACTCAGCCTCTCTGAGCGAGCAGAATTTCACCTGAGCCTTTGAATCCTGAGTTCTGTAGAGGGATAGAGATCTAGATAAAGTTCCCTTCAGCAGCTGCAACAGAGCCGGTGCCTGAGGGAACAGAATTCCTGCCTGGCTAAGGTCAGTGCTGCAGATAGCCTCGGAGTTACAATCACCAATTAGGACAGCAGTTGCTTGAGGGGCAGCTACTGAATTGACGGAAAACAACCACCCATTCATTATTCCTATGCGTGTTTATACGCTTCTAGAAGCTCCCGCAGTGGGGCTCTGGCCTATCCTCCAACCAAGGCATCCTATCTCAGCCGTTTCCCGGGGCTCTGCTTCCAGCCCAGGGTTTCATCTACCAGCACAACAGGCTGACATTCTAAGGTGACCTCAAAGATCTTTACCTCCTTGTCTCAAAAAAGGAAAAAATTCGGTCAGGTTCTGAATAGTGATACTCAATGTTGACCCCTGACATCCACATGCATGTATGTACATGTACATAAAAAAAAAAAAAAAAAAAAAAAAAAAAAAAAAGGCAGGAGCGGAGGCTGAGAAGAGGACTCCAGCCTTTGCTGCAGAATCCTGACAGCTTGAACTCAGTCCCCTGATCCCATACACTGTGGAAGGAAACACCACCTCCCAAACATTGTCTCTGACCTCCACATGTGCTCTCTCTGTCTCTCTCTCTCACACACACACACACATGCGCACATAGCAAATAACTTAGAAATAAAATATAAATATATAGAATTAAATATTAGCATGGTAACAAGGAAAATGGCATGTAAGGAATAGTAGTCAGGGTAGTCCTCTGACCTCCACATGCACAAGAACACAAGTGTTCCCACACACTTGCACACACACAAGTGCTCCCACACACTTGCACACACAAGTGTTCCCACACACATGCACACACAAGTGCTCACATACACATGAACACACAAGTGCTCACACACACCTACACACACGTGCTCACACATACATGAACACACAAGTGCCCTATACACCTGCACATACAAGTGCTCACACACACACACACCAACACTCATGCACAAAGAAAAATTAGTAAAACTAGGAAAATGTGCTTTTTAAGAGCTTTCTAAAATGCCTAATAATCGATTATTAACTTTTAAAAGAACTTGAGCCAAGAAATCTTGAACATTTTAAGCAGCTATTAGATGACAATCAAGTTTAATCCTATATAAAGTGTTAAGGCAAAATTGTTTACTTCAAATACAGGAACCTGGACAAAGACTGGAACAAACTGGATTATTTGGGGTAGGAGTTTTGCGAAGAGAGTGTTGTCATGACCAAATCTAGTGTGTCTTGAGTCCTTGAGTTATTTCTCTCTATTACGGAAGAATTTCTGCCACTCGGTTTCCCATTTTCTTCCGGTTCAAGCGGGAGGAGAGTACGAGGGTTGAAGAGATGTCGAGGCTCCCCCAGGATGCCAACTCTGGAAGAAGAATTACTGCTATAGTTAACCCAGTAAATGGTAAGGCCAAAGACTGTGATTCACAGTTGTGTTTGTGACTGTGATTATGAGTCTGTGATAGTCACACACACACACACACACACACACACACACACACACACACACACACACTAAAGCTAAGACATACATATACTTTAAAAAGCCAGACCTGTTTCCAGGCCTATTTCCATTGTGGTCTTACACACCAGCCCCAAACCGAATCCTAGCAAGAGTCTGTTCTAGCTCTACCCAAATCTCCTCAAGATGAATACTTACAATAGACCCTCAGCACTGAAGATCTGACCCTCCCTCACCCCTTCAGGCTACAACTATATAGAGTCTAGCACAACTTCTGGGGATCTCTTTTTGTCTGGTCCAGATGGGCCTCAGTGGACAGGCTCTGGTCAGGGAGTCAGGGGTTGGCACGGGAACAGATGCTTTTCTCGGGGAGCAGAGCCTGAGTCCCCGGAGGCACCGACCAGGAGGCAGCCGCCACGACTCTCCTGGGATTCCCCTGGGACCACTTACACCGGTATGGTCACCGAGTCCTGACTCGCTGTATCCTTCTGCATTCGGGGCAGCAGCTTGATGCCTGCCGCGTACTTTTTTTCAACGATGTTTTGAGCTTTTTCTCTGAGAGAGGGCAGCAGTGTAGACAAAACTGGGGAGCGCATGTCCACAGCCTTTTTAATTGCTGGACGTTTCGCCATCATTTTCCTGTGGGAGGGAGGGGTGGCAGTCATGTTACACTGTCCTGCTTCTGACAAATGTCCTTGAGTGAACGAAAGGGCTAAAGGTCATAGCTGAGACAGATGCCATGTGCAGGCTTGTATCCCAGCTACAGAGGAGGCTAAGGTACAAGGATCATACCTTGTTTGAGGCCAGCCTGAGCTACACAGAGAGACTTCTCTCTCTCAAAAAAAAAAAAAAAAAAAAAAAAAAAAAAA